TTAACTTTAAGTTCAAATGTTATCCCTCTTCCTGTTGTGACTTCCTGATCCAGTTTTCCTCTCTACTGTTCTTTCTATTTTAAACTTATTCACTGTTCTTTTGATGGTTCTTGAGAGGACTTTGAAGATGGAAGCCAGAGTATGAATGTTGGTACCATTATGAAAGCTTGAAGGATATTTTTCCACTCTCCATTGCTCATTTAGGAAGACACACTGGGTATTATGCAAAATGATTTTAACCTGTTCTCTTTCTAGCTGAATAACTTAAAGGGTTTTTCAGCGATTCTTATGACAAATGGTATCAAGATGTCTAAATGTCTTATCTTAAAACCTGGAAAAAAGAAACTCATTTAGTTTAGTGGTATTGTAGATATTAAACATTTTGTGGGATGGATAACTATGCTGCTCTATGACTTGAACAATTTCCCCCTCTACAGCCCCCCTGTTCCACAGATGCAATGTCACCAGCCTTGTGCTAGTTTCACGGCAAATATTCAGATACTCCCCATTCTTTAGTGTCACCAGCTCAGACCTTTACAGCTAAGACCCTCCTTTTTACAAGAACAGGGTTGAAGGGTGTTATTCTGTTCATATTCCTTTAGTAAGAAGGGTGTTCCACTGTTGCAGCCTGTTTAGGGGTCAGAAAGAAAGACATAGAAGACGAAGGTAGGTTGAACAAATGTATTGAAATAACAGATATATAAAAGTAAGAGTGTTGGTAATAAGCAGATAGAGGTGTCCATCTGAATGGCCAGATGGACACTGTGTCTTGGTTGCTCACACTGAGGAAGTCACACATATTATTATTTATGAAAGGAGGAAAAGTTCATTCTACTCTAGGTGGGTTACTACATCCACACTGAAATCTTCTGAAGAATAAAAAATATGATACTCACCCTCGCAAGGAAGTTCCCAATTAATGTCCAGTTGGCAGACAAAAAGAAAATGGGCTGTAACTCAATACAGAACTCGGCATTCATGACAATACTGCATACTATGCAGTATGCGGTATTGTGGCATATTGATGATTAAATGATGATGGATAAGTTCTTTTGATAGGTGTGCAAATTGTAATGAATGAATGCGTTGTGAATCTGATTAGCTTAGGTATAAGATAGTAAGTGATGACCAGCCTCAGTCCATTCCCCATCTATTTCCGGCCTTGTGCCACAATTATATTTTATATACAATAAATCTACATGGTGTAATGATGGATATTTATTGAGCACAGTATCCATACCAAAGTCAGCAGCCTATCAGGACCTAGAGAATAAGCTTTCCCAAGTAGCAGAATGGAATATCCCAGTCTGTTATATAAACTATTCACCAGTTGGCCCAGACTCAACTTCCAGTACAGTCGAACTGTGTCTGTTTATCCAACTAAATTCTACAGCTTCTCCCCAAGAATGACTACTTTGTGAAACGAACACACCCATGGACACGTCCTGAAGACTAGAATCTGAACCTCTTCAAAACAAATATCAATCATTCTCTATTCTTCACATTCTCATAATGTTCATTTCCTAATTCTTTCAAATCTGTTTATATTACACAGCTCATTTAGTAACCCACTATTTTGAGTGGCTCTTGGGCCTTGTATTAGATGAACTTTCAGTGTTTGAAAACCGATTAGAATCAGACCCCACCCTTGAACAACAGACTAACATCCCAAGAGATAACTTTTTTTAATCTATTCCACTCAAGCAAGGCAATAATGTCACTAAGATGCAAGGGGTTACTGGAAGTGAAAGAGAAGGAAAAAACTTTAGAAGAAACTAGGAACCTAACCCTAATCAGGAAACAAGGGATAAACCTCTACTCTTGTTCAAAAGACCGGGGAGGAGTGTGAACCGGACGATAGGTGAACCTATCTACTCCTGGTGGAAATGTTCTGTGTACAGACAACATTCTTCCAACTAGTATCTGAGATATATCAACAGGAGTAAGATTTGTCTATTGGTCCACAATTTTCATCACTGATGATGAACATATACAGGGAATAATTTAAGGGAATGGCTTTAAAAGTGGCACAACTAAAGCCAACAGCATGGTTGAGATACATGGAGACACCTCTATATACTGGCCCCATCAGGAAGCTGTAGAAATACTGCTGGACCATGTGAACTTAGTAAAACCATTGATCCATTTCATAATGTAAGATGAAAATAATAATCAGCTGATCTTTCTGGATCTGCTAACAACTTGCACAGAGAATTGGTTAAAGACATCCATGTATTACCAGACAAATTCCATTACTTGAATTCCAACCATCCAATCAACATCAGGAAAGAGATTGTCTGATGCTTACAGCACCGTGAAAAAGTGTGGTAACCCAGAAATTAACAAAATGAGATGATCTGCATTGAATGTACCCTTCAAAATAACAACTACCCTGCAAACATAACATCAGACTATGCAATCAGAAATAGAAGGGTCAAAGAGGAGGGTTAAAAAAAACTTAAGTCAAGGGCTTATTAGAAAAGATTAAAAAAATCTGAGTCCCATACATCAGGACAGTATTCAAAAGCAGATGGACCTTACAAAGACATTCCTCTAAAGTCAAGACTTACAAGTCTATTAAGGATGTCTTTAGTTGGCCTAGCATAGAAATAAATATAATATGGGTGTCATACATAAACAAAGAAATGGCAGCAAGGCTTCAACTGCAGGAGTAGCATCTGCCACAGTAGAAAAGAGAGAGTACAGTCAAGTGTGTTATCAGCAGGCAGATTAGGTTTAAGGCTTTATGTTCAACACTCAGAATAGTCCCACAGGACACTAAACAATGGATTGGTTCATAAATTTGGTGATATAGTAATTGCGAGTTCAATCTCTGTTCCCTGTAGTGTCCAATTGAATTCAGTGGAAAATGAGACAAGCAGTAACAATGAGAACAGTCTATCTTCATAGATTAAATAAAAAGTTAACTTAAAAAAATTCATGAAAGGTTACCTGAGGAAGGCTGGAGAACACAACAACAGGATATTTTTGATAACAACTGTTGTAGAAAAGAATAGACTGTCAACTGATAGTAGCAACTGCAATAGATTTCTTTTGTTTCTCGGCTACAACACTTGTAACCAAATTGCAGTTCAAACGATAGTCCGACGTAACAGTCCAACACAACGTAGAAATGACAAAATGGGGTCACACATCCAACCTTCTCTTCTCACCAACAACAACACGTGTTCATTCCACCAAGCTCAAAAAAATCTTCTTTTATAAGCGAAAAACGACTTCTGTTCACCGAGAGAATTTTCTGATTGGTCATGCCATTCAAGGGAGGGAAGAACATTAGCATAGCTTCTAGTCATTGATGTAGATTTTTGCTGACTACTTTTTGGTAATTTTTCTTCAGCAGATCACACACAAAACACAAACTTTTTTTTCGGAGTAACTGATTATCTCTTTCACTACAAGCAGTAACAATGAGAACAGTCTATCTTCATAGATTAAATAAAGAGTTAACTTGAAAAAAAATTCATGAAAGGTTACCTGAGGAAGGCCGGAGAACACAACAACTGGATATTTTTGATAACAACAAAGATGAGGACAATAGTCCACATGTAAATTAAATCTATTTTTTGGTGGTTTTGTGTGGGGAGAAGAACAATTAAATACAATCTTTTTGTGTTTATTCTAGATTATTATTGCTGTAAACTATGTTTCAGCTTCTTGATACTTGCATCTTCAAAATTTTACCACTCTATAAAATTTTTACATTGGTAAAATTTTAGTGCCACTGGTTTAAACCATTACAGCCAGGATCCACCTTGCTAAATCCACAGGGTTAATGTATCCTCCTTCCATTTGCCTTCCATTGGTTAGAAGGACCTTCCACTCAGAAAGCTTTTTCTCAAGAACCACTGCTTTGTGAAACAGACTCCCACATGGATACTTCCCTGTGCTTTACAATTCTAATCTCTTCAAGTCTATGGTCAATCATTCTCCATATACTCATAATCATTTTTCCTAATTCTTCATCTTACATTCATATCACAAACCTCATTCTGTAACCCTCTAGCTTGAGTGGCTCTTATTCTTTGAATTGGGTGTACATTAGTAAAAAAACGATATGATTTTATATATATATATATATATATATATATGATCAAAATAAAAGTATAAAACTTAATATTACGAGACATATTAAAAAAACAGGTGAAGCAACTGGTTTCGCTCCTGCTCTTCAGGCTTCAATGGGAGATTTAAAATTGACACAGGAAAATATACAATAAAAGGAATTGTAAAAAAAAAAAAAAATATGTAAAAGGAACTAGAGACAAATGACAGCGAGTCCCAACAATCACTCACGTTGTCTGCACAAGGAAGGCTTGCGGGACCCAATGTAAAGTGCCTCCAGAACCTTTAGATGAAATAAAGAGTGACACCGGGACAACTCTAAATTTGGCTGCACAATCTCTGTTCTGTAATAGGTGTTTGCATATGGCAGAACTATAGGTGTTCGGGACAAGTCCATTCAACGGCAAGGTGAATGGACTCGTTTGTTTTTTGTTTTTTTTTACTTCAATGTTCATTTTTATATTTACACATGCTCTATCTCTGATATTGAGCACTTTATCCCATAAATATAGCCTTAAGAGTATATTTCTTCATATATATATATATATATATATATTTATGTGTGTGTGTGTGTGTGTGTGTGTGTGTGTGTGTGTGTGTTTGTGTGTTTGCATGTTTGTGTTGTGCATGTATCTCCTTATCAAGTGAGAAGTCACTACCATGGAGCTTGACCCTCTTCTGTACATTTTTTGTGGAGTGGAGTGGTTTCTTGTAGCTTTCTCCACTGTGACTTTATTGAGACACCACCTCTAGTTAGCTGGCTGCTGATTCATTCAAGTTCTCCCCCTTTAAGAAGAGTAACAAAGATTGCTGCAGCACCAGCTCATCAGCAGATTTTGACTGCATGTTCAATCTTTCTTTCAAAGGTGCAATATCACTTTGCAGATTTCTGCCACCACCCTGAAACTAGCCCATTCATGTCCACCCACTTATTTCTGGGATATAGATATTACTGGATTATAGGTAGAAACCTGTAATTAATATCTAATTTTTATTTTTGTAATTATTACAGAATTGTATGGTGGCCATTAATAAGTTAATAGATTAATAATTGAAAGAAAAATTACCAAAGCTGTTTTTTGTCAGAGTTCTCTCTATCAGTCTCTCTCTCTTTCTCTCTCTCTCTCTCTCTTTCTCTCTCTCTCTCTCTCTCTCTCTATTTATGGTTGTCTGACTCTTTTTTCTCTATGTTTCTGCTCCTCTCTCTTTCTGTGCATCGGTCTATCTATTTCTTTCTGTCTTTGTCTCTCTACTTCTTTCTAATTTCATCTTTTCTTTCTTTCTTTCTCTGTTTATGGTTGCCTGTCTCTATTTTTCTATATGTTTCTGCCTCTCTCCTTCCCTCTTTGTGCTTCTGTCTATCTATTTCTGTTTGTTTTAGTCTCTTGCACTCTGTTTCTGTATCTCTCTCTCTTTCTTTCTCCTTGTACTTCTGTCTTTCACTCTCTTTCTCTCTCTTTATCTTTCTCTCTCTCTCTCTCTCTCTCTCTCTCTCTCTCTCTCTCTGGCAGACAAATCAATCTATTGAGACAGTAACATTCATTGTGCTTTAACCTACACTTTCTGTGTCATGGCTGACCTTCCTTGCCATACCTCTAATTTAAACTGAGGCAAAGTGCTAAACAGAAAATGTGGAAATGCGATGCTAATTCTATTACTATCAGAAGACGTTAGGTAAATTGTCAGCATCGCCTTTTGATGCTTATAATATTTTTACCACTTGGGGAACACAGATTTTGTAAATAAAAAAATGTACTGATTTGAGAGTAGGAAGATTTTGTTGCTCTAATCTCTAGTTGGATGGATCACACTTTGGGACTCAGCTTTTGTTAAGATATAAATACTAGCAAAAAATAAATATCTGAGGTAAATTTGACATTTATGGAAAGAAAAATTAATAAAATTCTATATGAAATATTTCCTTGCATTGTGGAAATTGGTAAAGAAGGGAAAACAATGCAGTTTGGTTTGGTTTGGTTTGTTTTACAGCATATCAACCTCAATGGCTTATTTAATGCTAACAAGATTTTTATTGCTGGTAATATTTTTTATCTATCTATCTATCTATCTATCTATCTATCTATCTATCTATCTATCTATCTATCTCAGTATATACTGATTTGGTTTTGTTTACAGCATATCAACCTCAATTGGTTATTTAATGCTGACAAGATTTTTATTGCTGTTAATATTTTTTTCAAAAAATATATATATTTTTTTTTTTTTCAAAAATGTATTCCTAGTAATATTTTTTTCAAAAAATGTATTGCTGGTAATAATTCTTTCCTTCAAAATTCATTGCTGGTAATAATTTAAAAAAAAATGTATTCCTGGTATGAAAATATATTTTTAAACTTTCATAGCATTTTAACCCCACTTTGGGGTTAACTCTTTGCCCATAGGTGGGACCCTAACAGGTGCTACCACACTGGGTCAGGGTGAACCAGGGAACATCAGGAATTAAGAGGGGGTTCCACGCTCCTCAAAATATCCTGATCATAGGACTTGTTGTCAGATGTAGTTTATTATCTTACTCAGGATGCCTCAAATGGAGGGGTCTCACTCCTCTGCAAAGAGGCACTTGTCATAATCTGAAGCCCCAGCCAACAGGGCAGAAAACAATGGAGATGTCAACACAAGTACAGAAGTTTAAATATCTGGGAATTGCTTTAGCAAAGAATGGAAAATGTGACACCAAAATCTGAAACAAAGTACTAAGAGACACTCTGACCTAAAACAAAGTACTAAGAGACACCCTGACCTAAAACAAAGTACTAAGAGACACTCTGACATAAAACAATGTACTAAGAGACACCCTGACCTAAAACAAAGTACTAAGAGACACCCTGACATAAAACAAAGTATTAAGAGACATCCTGAACTAAAACAAAATACTAAGAGACACCCTGACATAAAACAAAGTACTAAGAGACACCCTGACATAAAACAAATTACTAAGAGACAAGGAAATGTTCATTAGAAACAAAGAAAAGAGTGATAAATGATTATGTGATATCAATCCTCTAGTAATGTTGAGTAATCTCACCACAAATGAAAAGGAAACAGGAGGCAACAGAAATATGGTTCTACAGAAGGATACTGAGAATTCCATGGATGTAGCAAATAAGTAACTAGAAATTCTTAAAGAAAAAGGTAACAAAAACAACATTTATATTTAGAATCAGAGAGCTGAAATTTGTTGAACATATAATAAGAAAGGAAGGTTTGGAAAACTTAAGCCTCACAGTGCATATCAAGGGCAAAATAGATAGCAGGAGACAATGGGTCACCTACCTGATGATATTATGTGAATGGATCATGGAATGGAAAGCAGGATACTTATCAAAGGGAGAGAGACTTCTAAGAGTCAAGTGGGATAGGAAGTTGTGGAGAGGCATGATAGCTCATGTTCAAAAGGGAGATGGCATATAGAAGAAGAAACAACTGTTTCTTTTGCACTCAAACGATAACCACAAAGATATTTTCTGCCAATTTCCTTCCTTTCAGATGTAAGAGACTAAAATACAAACATGCTGCCATAGAAAAGGAATTAAAAATCTAAACAGTACTTCTTTTATGTCCATTCAGGATGTAGGTGATCATGGCTCTTCACAACCTCCTCTTAAATATTGTTCTCAGTCACAGCTCTGCCATAAAGATTTTGGCATGTGTTTTCTTCTTATATAGAAAATTTTTGTATTAGTTTGTCAATGCAAAAATGAAAACAATCAGAAGAGGAAGAAAAATAAAAGATGAAATACTAAACAATTGACAATGAAAATTAAAAAAAAAAAAAAAAGTTAATTCTCTGAGAAAGCAATATCTCTAGAAACTGATAATGAAATCAATAAAAAAAAAGTGTTGAAATGTGGAGAAAAGTGAAAAATTGCTAGATCATTGTACAATTGAAACCAGTACAATAAATGCCCTGGTTTCAAGAAACACTGAGTGACATTTCAACCCTGACCATATTAGACTAAAGTTGTCAGAACATATACCAATATTCAACCAATCATTACTAAGTCTGTCTCTAAATATAAACAATAATGAAGCTACTAATGAGGAAGTTAAAAAAAGCTATAAAAAATAAGGAATGATGAAACATTAGTTGACATTGAAACTGAACTTTTGAAAATAGCTTATCTTATTTCCAAATTTTATTAACAAATTTCTCAATTTTAATGAAGTAACTCTGGAATGAGAAACACGTTGCCAAAAAAGTGTGTGTGAGTGGGGGGGGGTATCACACATCCAACAACAAAATTGTCCAATTGTTAGATTAAGATTTGAATAGTTGTATCTTAGAAATGATTAAAGATATCTTACTGGATTTCTCCAAGGATTTTATAACACGATTGGACTCTACTTTGAGCAATAAGAATGTATAATTACTCTCCAAACTTAACAGAAGAACAGTATTTACATTAGTCGGACTATTGTCCTCATCTTTGTCGCCATATTTGTCACAACGTTTCGGCCGTTGTACGCTCCGGCCTTCTTCAGGTGGTTGGAATTTTGAACTGAACCCTTTATTTCGATCACTGGGGTAGACTGTTCTAATTCCACGTGCCATGTTTGATGGATGTCAGTTATCAGTTATCTCCTGCTAATTTTCCCTCTGAAAGTTCTCCACTGCCTTAACCAGGAATTGAACTCACCTTCTTTGGGTCTGTCACTGGATCTAACCAACGCCTTTATCCACTGTGCCATGTGTCCTTGAAGAAGCGTGATGAAATCGATCATAAATACAAATGACATGTTCACCATTAATTAATCATAGTTAAGGATCGGAAGCTCATGAAAGATTGAAATAAATTTCAAATATAGGATCATTTTCTAACTTATTCAAGATGTTCTTTGTCCTTTCTAACCTTCTAACTTTCTGCCCTGGAGTAACAAGGTGCCTCACAGGTTTCACATATGATTTCATTTTCAATTCTTTTTTCACTTCTCTTTGGACTGTCATAGGTGAAACTTCTCTCTCACATATCAAACTTTTTATGTATTGAATTGGATGTTGTCTAATTTATCTCATTTTGTCTAAGGTGAAACGAAGATCACTCTTCCTGTTGTGACCTCCTGATCCAGTTTTCTTCTCTACTCTTCCCTCTTTTATAAACTTATTCATCGATATCTTGATTGATTTTGAATTGACTTTGAAGATGGATGCTAGAGTATGAACATTGGTAACATTACTGAAGGACTGAATGTTTTTTTTTCCTCTCGCCATTATTCAATTGATAAGATAGTGGGTCTGGCACAAAATGATTTTAACCTGTTCTCTTTCTCGCTGTATATCTCAAAGGTTTTTTGGTGATTCTTATGACAAATAGTATCAAGATGGCTAAACATCTTATCTGAAAACATGGAAAAAGGAAACTCAATTAATGTAGTAGTTTTTTTAGATATTAAACATTTTGTGGGATGGACAATTATGCTGTTACATATTTGGTCAATTTTGATGTTACACCCGGTATAATATCAAACAGCTGCAGGAGATTGCATACCTTTAAAATAGAAAATTGTATACTTGCTATGTTGACCTTACAGAATCATATGACCTCATCAATAGAGACTTCCTGTTCTCATCCATATGAAACCACCTTCCAAACTCAGAATCAATATGGTCTGGAGTCCCTTCTGTTTGTCTCAAGGTCCTTGATAAAATTCAGAGACGGATATGCAATGTAATTGGCCCTGATCTGGCATCTCATCTGCAGTAGCTCTCTCACAGATGTGCTGTCATGTCCCTCTTTTTTACAGATACTTTCACGGTAACTGCTCCGATGAGCTGCTTTCGATGGTTCCCAGACTTCATGAATTTAAGCGTTCAACTAGCCGGGCATCTTGCTCTCACCCTTTCATTGTCGAAACTGTTAAATGTAGCGGTCTCTTCTACTCCAATAGCTTCATGTCTTGCACATCTTGCCTGTGGAACTCCCTCCTTTTTTCCTGTTTCCCTGATAGCTATAATCTCCAACTATTCAAATATAATGTCAATTGACGTCTCCAGATGCCTTGATCTATCCTCTATCCTTCTCTTCATCCTTTCCTCTATCACTCCTATTTGCTCTCACTCACTGTAACCCCTTGCATGCTAGTGGCTTCCCACCTTCCTTGGGGGGAAATGCTTAAAAAAAAAATTATTGTCTCAATCTGAGAGACGATCTATATTGGTACATAATATCATCCATATCTGATGAGTACCTCAGTACAGAAACATTTCAAACCTAATCAGGGGTATAACAAGAAAGAAATTAGGACTCTAATCTAATCTTTTCTTAGACTATGGGTTGCACATATACAAGCACTTATGTGAAGAAATGGGAGCTGATCATTTACACATTACATAACAGAACCCAAACAAATGTACCAATAGAAAACAGAATTCCTGCTTTCACTTCGGAGGCCAGTGTACTGAGGATAAGGGTGGGGTTTGTGCTGATAACATAAGTATTAATAGTTGGCATAAGAACAATATTAAATAACAAAAAAAAAATCATCCTCTACCAAATGTTGCAACAGGATGCAAGATAATCTTTCCCAAAACAAAAATGATTATCTTGAATTGGAATGAAGGCAGTGATGTAAACTGCCCTGAATCCATCATAAAAATTCAGGATGTGGATTTAGTAAGTACTAAACATTACATACACCTTGGTGTATGGATCAATTCTAACAAATTTAGTATACAAGATAAAGAAATGGAACATCGAATAGGCTGCACTGGGGTGAGTAGAGATTTTTGCAACTTCTGGTTGCGAAAGAACCAAAACATTAACCAAAAAACTCAAGTTGTGTTTAAAATAGCATAGATTGAGACACTTTCACATGGATGTCATGCATGGCACGAAACTAATTTAGAAATATCTAAACTGCCAGCTGTATACAATCAATGTCTCAGATCAATAATAATCCTCTAAGTGAGGATTATCCTTCTTTGAACCTTGTGAACTGACACTACAGAATCACAAACATAAACTGCACCAGATAAAAGAAATCACATCACTTGAGGAATTCAACATCAGCAACAACTAAAATGGATAGCTCATGTAACATGAAGAGAAAATAATGATATAATTAAGATATTGACCTTCCACAATAGTTTAAACAAAAGCTTAGAAAGAAAACACCCATCAATACTAAAAAACTACTTTCCTAAAAAATGTTTTTTTAAATAGAAAGATTTTATAAATTTCAAATGAAAGTATCAATGGCTGTTCAGTCACTGAATGCCAAATGTTTCCTTATAAGGAAACGGCTAATATTACCATTAGAGATGAGGAGAACAGATACTACACTTTGATCCTAGCCTAATGTCCTGGGAGTGAAGAAAAGTGTAACTCAAGTTGCAGTGGCTGTTCAGCTAAATATTTCCTTTTAAGTAAAAAGATAATATTACAATTACCATTAGATGAATGAAGATTTTCATGTTCTTCCTAAATTAATCCTACTTATGATATCTTGGTGCATATATAAACAGGTAGTAAATAAATTGCAATACTATTTTTGTTATGGGACCTTACCCATAATAACATAATGGACTATTCCATACGTAATAAATACTGCGCCTTAAGAGTAAGCAGGGAGTTCAGTCTGAAGTTGGGTGACCAGCTGACCGGCTGATGGGTTGAACTCTCTGCCTTCGGGCGGGGAGGAACCCGAATGAGGCTACGCCGAAGGGCGGAGTCTCTTTCGTGGGAGGTAAACCGACCGTGAACCTGTTTATACGGGTTCAAAGGGTATATTTTTGGCCAAGCCCACGGGCTCAGAGATCCTGCATTAAACCGGCCTTGTGCCACATGATACCATCGTGGTGGGGTGACTAAATACCATTCAGTCTGAAGTCTGGAGTGAGGTCCGTCAGAAATCAGAGCGAGCGAGTCAGTCAGTCGAGTCAGAGGCAGTCCGAAACAGAGTCGCGTTCAGACAATTACTACATGACATTGGAATAGTGATACTGGTCAAGACTACATTGTTCTCCCTACTAAACCTGATTGTTCGTACTAACACTTTCTACTTCTCTGTATATATTCCTGTTTGTAATATATCTGTGTTATTCCTTATCCGTGTTCGAGTTCTTCTTTATTGGTTCTACCTTGGACCATCACTGTGGTACAAGGAACCGGACCATAAAAATTTTATATTAAAATAATTTGCCATGTATTTTTTGTAGTAAATTGATTTGCAAGGTATTAATGCAGTCAAATAATTTAAACTGCTTTCTTATAGTAAAATATTTTGTAATGCAATACTGTAATAACATAATTTGTAATGGATTACTGTAGTAAAATAACTTTTAATGCCTTTCTGTAGTAAAATAATTTTCAATGCATTTCTGTAGTAAAATAATTTTTAGTACATTATTCTTTTATGTGCCATATTCCTTCAAAACAATGGCAATCATGATTCTCCACAACTTCTTGTCTTTGTAGCTCTTAATACGTTTTGTCTTTTGGCTATCTCTCCCAAATCCTTTTCTGCCATCCATTCATTCAATCTTCCCACGTAGGTCATGTATTGCTTCCCACTGTCTCTCTTGCTATCAATTTGTCCTGTGAGTTGCAATACGTTAATGTAGTAAAACAATTTTAAATACATTTCTGTAGTAAAATAATTTGTAATGCATATAGGAAATAGAATAATTTACAATGCAATTTCTGTAATAAAATATTCGGCAATGCTTTTCTATCGACATCTTTAAAACGAATAGTGAATCGAAGAATCTCAAAAAGTAACTTTACTTCAGTCAGGTAAGAGTTGCCAAGCTTTCACTTTGAGTCTTGATAGAGTCCAACAGCAACCACACAGCCTTGTGGGTGATGAATTATTTTGCACCATACAACCCCTTCCCCGCAGATGAAATGTTGGAAGCCTTTTGCTACATTATCACTATTTCCATGGAAAGTTTTCAGATGTACTATATTGCTTAGTTCCATCAGTTCTATCCTTCAGCATGCCACACCCATTGTAAGAAGTCACCCTCAATCCATTTGTATTCAATTGGTGAGGTATAAATTCCATACAAGCAGCATTTTCCATGAAGTGCTACTTTGTGGAAGCAACGCCTAAGATGATGCTTCCCTAGTCACTACAATCTTAACCTGTTCAAGTCGAGGGTTAATTGTTATCTTTCTAACATATCCTCATAAACTGTGCCTCTGAAACCTTATTCCATAACGCTCTACCTCGAGTGGCTCTTGGGCCTTGTATAGGGTGAACATTATTATAAAAAAAGTTACTTCATGGAACCAACTTGTAAGAGGATGCTTCCCCAGTCACTACAATTTCAACTAGTTCAAGTCGACAGTTAACTGTTGTCATCAAAAAAATATCCTTATAAACTGAGCCTCTTAACTGTTACTTTGAAACCCTCTACCTCGAGTAGCTCTTGGTCCTTGTATAGGAAATACATTCATAACTAGAATATAGATTATTTAAAATAATGGTAAATCTGGCATTACTTACATGTAGATTTCAAATATTTGAATAAATATAAAATATGCAACATTTTTATTTTGTATCAAGGACTCATCATTCATTTTATATGAAAAAAAAAAGATTAAAAATACAAAAATATAAACGGTGACATTACATCATTTTTTTTCTTCCACCTTGTCTTAGTGAATGATGTACACCTTCCAATTTCTAAAAGGACACATTCAGATAAGGTAAGATGGCTTCATTGAAGTGCCAATTCATCTTTCCTGTCTTTTATTCACAGACACAATTTCAAACCAGACTAGTTTGGTCTGACAAGTATCATACTCTGATATGTCACATGTCCAAATTATCCCAGTTTGAACTTTTCTATTATGGTTCACTAGGTTTTAAGACACAAAAGAACAAAACTAAATTGTCTGCGTTTGGCATTTTTATTGAACAGAACAAAAATATTTTTTTGTATAAATAGTAAAGGTAAGGGCAATATAAGCCTTTTACTTATCAATATAAATTGTACTTTATAAATTGTACTTTATAAATAAAAGCAAATATAAATAAATATAAGCCATTTACTAAGTGTAGAAATATTCAATACTCACTGACCGAGCAGCCAGTGACACTTTTGACTGAAATTTTATAAAATCTTTCTATTAAAACAATTTTTCAGGAAAGATAGGTTTCACAAGTCCAGTAACTGTTATCACTCTTTCCAGTGTTTATGGGTGTTTCTTACCTACCCTTTTGTTTGAAGTACTGTGGAAAGTTAACATCTTGATCATGTCATTATTTTCTCTTTGAGTTACATGTGCTATCCATTTTAGTTGTTGCTGCTGTTGGTAGTCTTCACGTGATGTGGTTTCTCTTATTTGGTACAGTTTGTAATTCTGTTCTGCCAGTCCATGAGGTTCAAAGAAGGATGGTCCTTGCTAAGACCTACAAAATTCATTCACTGGAAGCCATTTTGAATTGTTGATATGAGACATTGGTTGTATACTGCTGACTGTTTAGATATTTCTGAATGAGTCTGGTGCTATGCATGATATCCATATGAAAGTCTTGATCTGATGAAATTAATTAAGAACCAGGCCCAAGATCTTCATTAAATGGATTAATTCACTTACTAGAACTTGTTTCCAGTCATAAAAATATTCAAAATGATTTGTTTATGTCAGCCATGATATCAAGAGTAGCACTTATAAAACAAATATATAAATTATTTTATTTTTATTAAATAAAGCAGACATTTGCAAATAAATAGTAATACAGTTTTAAACTTTATTATTTGATGAAGCATCCTCCTTCTTGTAAAGTTGCTACACTATATCCATCCAGTGTTGCACACAGTCTTGCCTGGGGTGTTAAGGTTTCAAGGTCGTTATGTGTGCGTGAATCTTCAAAACAGCTGCAAACTAAGATATCTGTCTGTATTTCTGAGATGAGAGATTGTAACTATTTACACAGTTCAGATTGTTGTCCTCATCTTTATTGCCCTATTCACAATATCTCGGCCATTGTATGCTCTAACCTCCTTCAGGTGATATACAATGAATCTGAATAATGTTGGAGAATGAGAAAAACAGTGCAAATGATGTAAATAATGTAAATTAGAAAATGTTCTATAGTTTTTAATTGCCTGCATTGGCAGTTAGGATCGTTGCTGGTAGCATATCCCCATTTCTACAGCTGTTTGGAGGCAATTTAAGTATTATGAGAAGGGCCAGACATCACTGGAACTACAGGGGAGGAATTCTCAAGGTCTGGGAAAGAGCCTGCGTTCCACGCTACACTACACAATGAAGCATAGCCAACTATTATTCATTTTTGACTATTATTGCTTTCATTTTAATTTCAATTGCTTTTTATTGCAACTTACTCAGACTTAGTGAAAACCATCCCTCTTCAATCCTTATGGACTGGTGGGTGTAATGGTCCTTGACTTAGAGTCCTTGATACTTAGTAGTAGTAGTAGCAGTATGGTGGTGGTAGTAGTAATAGTGATAAAAAGGATACTTTTTCATATACTATAAAAATATAAATGTATCATGTATCAACTTCTATATATATATATATATATTCTATTTACATTGTTTGGACTGTTGTCCTCATCTTTATTGCCATATTCCCATTCAAAAGCTGTCTCTATTTCTGGGATGAGGAATGAGTTTGGACTGTTGTCCCCATTTTATTGTAACTATTTCTGAGATTTGTAACATTATTTACATTGTTTGGACTGTTGTCCTCATCTTTTTGCCATATTCACCTTCAAAAGCTGTCTCTATTTCTGAGATGAGGTATTGTAACTATTTACACTATTTACATTGTTTGGACTGTTGTCCTCATCTTTTTGCCATATTCCCTTCAAAAGCTTTATTTCTGAGATGAGGTATTGTAACTATTTACATATTCCTCATTCAAAAGCTGTCTCTATTTCTGAGATGAGGTATTGTAACAATATTTTGTCTGTTGTATGCTCTGGCCTTCTTCAGGTGACATACATTGGAATTTTGAACCAAACCCTTTATTTAGTCCACTGGGGTAGATTGTTCTAGTTCCATGTGCCCCATGATTAGTGGAAAAAGCAATAACAATTCATAAACTTGGGAAACCTACTTTCCTGATAAATTGTTTTAGCAGATTTTATAAATTTCAACTACTTGGTCAATGAATACCAAATATTTCCATATAAGGAAATGGCTAATATTACCATTACCACTGATTTCTGATTTGCACTGTTTATGACTAAGTTGCAAAGAACAGCTACTGAAATTAAGATGAAAAAGACTAGTAAAAAATTAATAAAAGCTGACAATGCTTCATCTAACAAAAATTCAAGATAATATTACTTGTGATGGCTTTAAAGGAGAGTCTGCATAAATAAAATTAACATCAAGTAGAAGTAAGATTAAAGAAATACTAATAAAAAATTAAAAATGTCTGACAATGTGTCATCTAAATATTTGAAATAATAATAGAAATGGCTGTAGAATGATGGTTTGAACTGTTTTGATGAAAAGCATCTCTAAAATTAAAATGAAATAAAATACTAGTCAAAATTTAATAAGGTCTGACAATGTTTCATCTAATAAAAAGACACAATAATACTACAACTAATGATTTTAGAATGAAGGTCTGCATAGTTGCAATAAAAAGTAACTAAAATTGAATTGAAAAAAATACTAATCAAAAACTAAAAATGGTTGACAATGTGTCATCTAATAAAAACCCAAGATAATATTATTGCTTGTGGCAGTAGAAAATGGGCCAGAGAAAATGAGATGAAAAACAACTAAAATTAATTTCTGTCTGAATTTCTGGGATAGGGAGTCATCATTGTTTACACTATGTATATGTGAAGCATTGTCCTCATCTTTACTGCTGAGGACAATAGACTGCATGTAAACAGTGTAAATAACTAAACTTAAGATGAAAGAAATAAAAGTAAAACAAAAAAATAATAATGGTTGACAATGCTTCAGCTAATAATAATAAAACTGAAGATAACACTAGTTTACAAATGACTGTAATATTATTGTCTGTGTCATTGTGAAGAAGATAAACTAAAATTAAGATGAAATGTTGCAAAAAAATGCTGTCATTTACTTGATAATAACAGAATGGTCAAAAGAAGCAAAAACAGAATTTGGATAACTGATCTGGGTGTGCAACAAGGTTAAAATACAATAAAATGCTATGGAAATGTCTACAATACTGACATCAAATAATAACAGAGATGGTCAAAAGTATGTGAGCAAAAACAGAATTTGGATAGTTTATTGATAATTATGATCTGGGTGTGCAACAAGGTATTTGAAAATACAATAAAATGCTAGGATGGAGCAAACAAAACTTTTGTCTACAATACTGACATCATTTACTTGATAATAACAGAGATGGTCAAAAGTATGTGAGCAAAAACAGAATTTGGATAGTTTATTGATAATTATGATCTGGGTGTGCAAAAAATAAAATTGGATGGAGCAAACAAAACTTTTGTCTAC